TGGCATATGAGAAATAAGTCGATGTACTTTACTCCATAACGGATATCTCAATTATTTTAGATGACATGATTTCCTTGCAGTGAGAATTTATGTCCCATTTTCTCGTTGTGTTCGATCGAATGGGTAAATGTTGATGTTGAGATTGTTATAGGTAAACAGTTATATTTTATGATGGACGCCCTATACTCAATTTTGTGTTTAGCCGAACAATGCGCAGGAATGAAGGAACATCTGGAATATTAATGAGTTATTCCGGTTAGAAGAATTTCTCCTGAAGAAAGGNGCAATGTACTAATATTAAGCTAAGGGTATCATAAGAGACTTCAATTTCATCGGTACATAAACGATACGCAGGACGGTATATTTAAATCCCGTTACAAATGAATAGTGCATCATTATAAACATTGGGAACAAGTGGCGGAATTACCGTACTTTCCATAGATCCGGTTTATTTTGTCACAAAACTCCCAATCGATTTTTCACACTACTTAATAGCATTTACTACTGACTAGCATGCTGTCGCAGTTCCTGAAATTTACCCACGTTTTTCGAATTTCCGAGGGATGCAACATAGCAGATTGATTGTAGTACGGTTTTATCCGTGTTAAAAGTTTAAATTTTATTTTTGATACTACTAACATTATTACTGTTGTTATTATTCTATTGATTTATCATTTTTATTATTATTAGTTGTTATTACCATCATTTTTATATTTGCAACAAACCTCTTTATCAGGATTTTGAGATTGTTTTCTCGCATACTACTTATGAGTAGACAATTTATGATTGCAGAATGTTGTCCGGGGTGCAACTTCCCGGCAGTTGAAATGATGATGTTGCCTAGCCTGGTTACGAAACGTGTACGAACAACACTTTCAGCCCGAAGAACACACCAACAACAACAAACGCTTAACATTTGTCCAGATCCACACAAGTTCCTATGGTCGAATATTAAATTCGGTGTTCGACCACTTATGTCCAGCACCCAGTAATCAACACTAGCATTATTGATTCAGTTTTTTTTAATATACCCAAACTACGAAGAAACTTGCCTCTTTCATCCCGTTCGCACTTCTTCTTCCTCATAGGTTCCTTAAACAAGCTGCTAGTCACCGAAACCAAACGATTATCCTCACGCATCCCTTTCACACCTACGTGTACCAAATGTCCTCCTTTCTACTGTATTCATGGTCTCAAAAATTGTCGGCTCGCAACGATCACATTTTTATATCACAGTAAACCTGGTCAAGCTTATGTGCGACATGATCGACACTCAACGCACAAAATGGGAACCACACTGACATGGTCTACATACAGCAGTTCATTTCACTATGTGTGTGTGACTGTGACGCATTTTTCTGATATTACACAACAAATTTGCATCAAGACCCCGAAAAACAGTACGGAGCTCAAATGCAGTCATTCCATTCACGGTTTCCGCGATGGATCTTTCAATGCATCTCATCCTCATGCTGCACGAATCGGTTCAACTCACATTGGTGATGCACATCGCATCCTCTGTCCAATCAGTTCTCTTCCAACCATTTGTGTAAATACTGAGTCATCAGTGATCGAATGCGTTTGGTACTACCCGGTTTTAGCCAGCCTTCAACCGGGTCGTAAGTATCACGCTCGGGCTCCATAGCAATCATTTCCCGTACTTCCGGTATGTCAATATCTGACACACAGTAAACAGTCTGTTGGGCGGTAGGTAACCGGTCCGCAGTGAACATAAATTCTTTCTGTATTACGTGGGGAGATAGAATGGAATAAGAGGATAGGCAGTTGCAAAATTCAGTACTTGAACGAGTAATGTATCCACCCGTTGTTTTTGTTGTGGGCGGTTTGTTTTAGCGGTCACCTTTAACCAATCAAAAATGAAGATATGAAATGTCATGTAGAATAGAAAGCCCTGATCCATTTGGAGAGAAAATGGACGCAGATGCGCAACGCGCTCAGCCATTTCACTTCATTTCTCTAACAAAATTTAAGCGAAGCGCCGTGAAACAAAACTGAGAAATCCAACCTGATGAAGACATTGGTAGTAGTTTTTAAACATAAGACAAATTATATACTCGTCGAATGTAACCTGGTTCAAACCTCTACATCGGTGAAATCTGCCTAGTGATACCATTAACACCGAGGTAAATTAAGTGCTGGCTCAGTACCTATGCATTCAGGGTCTTTATCATCAAACTAGAATGATACAACAAATTGTATTCCAAAACAGAGAACGATTGGTAATTTTGGACAAGTTACGGTCATACCAAAGCTAAGTAATTATACAATGCGATCGATCTTTTAAAAACAAATGGTCAGATTCGGAACCAATGAGTGAAAGAGGAGAGAGGGGGGTAAACATGCATCTGGGTAGCTTAAAGTCGCGTTTTATGGTGGCGGATAAGTTTGTGAGTTTTAATGGGCTGAGTGAGACACAATTGCTTTTTAAAGGACACCTTTCAGAGACAAGAAGGCACCTCAACTTGTATGAAGTTCTTCTCATCCGGATAATAAAAACCGAAGAGGCGAAAACGATGCATGCATGCATGTACGTGAACAATGATTCTCGGGTAATGTGATGAGTGAATGTGAGATCGCTATGTGAGAGTTAACGAAACAACGCTGCCAAGGAAGCTTTAGGCAACCAACGAAAAACAGAATGACAGGTTGCTATGTGCGATCCCTAATCACCGTAAATCCGCATAACAGTGAGGTATTTTGACTGAAACGTAGACAATCATGGCAATATACATTAGAATGAAATACAGAGCGATACAAAAAATCGTCAATACTCAATTCATCAACAAATTTCTTGAGTGAAATTCGTAAACTGTACGATTATGTACTCGGGGAATAATCATTGATTACTAAACTTTCGGTAGTAGAGAGACCACGGTAACATCCATGCATGTACTGTAATTAATTATCCACTGAGCATACATTGCGCGTAATGCTCGTGAGCCTGTTACACGTGTTACACTATATCTCTGTGAACACTTCTAAAGGCCATGTGTCATGAAGCTCTACAACGCGTGGGTGTGTATGCCGAATGGACGTACATGAAACAATAGGCCCATAATGTTTATTGGTTTTTCTACCTTTGATACGGATTAATTTTCTCGTCTGACGACAGACTTTACAAGTCACTTACCACCTTCGTGTAGCAGACTAACTCACCTGAAAGGGTTCACTATCGTTCGGTTCAGCCGTGGTATGAAACTGTGACCAGTTGGGAATTAGGATAAAAAACTGGCATCAATCCGCGTTTGCATACAGTATATGGTCTAAACGGATCACCACGACGGAAATAGGTGATGATATCAACTGCATCAGTGTTACTTTCGTAAGCATTAGAACAGATTACCACCACTGCAACAAGGACCTACAGCTCGACTGTGGGAATTGGCAACCTAAGCTTTAGAGTAGAGAACTACACAAGATTCCATACTGATGACACTGAGCCGAACGACAGCAAATCTTCCTGCAACTGGGAGATGAGTATTGCCCTATGATCTTGGCTCGTCAATGTCTGTATTTTTGTATCTTGGGATAAGAATGACTTCAATCGAACACACACACGCGAATGTCAACTCAGGGTATTCGAATGATGGAACAAGTTCGCTATAAACCCTGATGGCACGACCACGGGAGCATAATTGTTCAGTTTGAACAACCATGCACTTCGGTGTGGTGATTTTGATTGCTGTCTTTTGGCTGCGCATTTGGATGAAAGAGTAAAGAGAGGATTAAAATGTTGAAAGTTAGTGTTCGAGTGAAAATAGAGAATTCAGGAATATCCAGGTTGAAAAGTAACTGCAAAGATACACAAGCGCTACGGATGATAAAACTAAAATCTCCGTTCAACTTAGTTGCACTCAATGTCCGCACACTCCGTCAGATCAACTAACAGGCTACCTTGGCTAGGCCCCTTGAAATTTTGAATGTATATGTATGCTGTGTTTCCCAATCCCACATACAAGACCCCACTTCAATAATCACCTTGCGTTCTTCTATCCATGTAGTTCTCTGTTGGTTTTTATCGCACAACGTTCATCTCAGAGGGCATCCGCTGATGTTGGCACACCAAAAGAGCCGTCTCGACGGCAGACGTCACTCGTTTGCAGTCAGAATGTGCAGCACATGGAACTCTCTACCAGCTCACGTGGTCTGTGTCCCAACATTAGTATCTTTCAAGCGTCAGCTTGATGATGCTCTGGAAAACATTACGTTTCAACACCCAACTACATAATATATTCTCCTGCACTCGTCAAAGCATTACCTCACTACTTTATTCTGATGGACGAACTGTGATATTGTGAATCGTCATCCGAACCAAACCCTATGGGATTTGAAAAAGCGAAGTCTTTGTAAGTTATATCCCATAATAAAAATTTGAAAAAAATTCTGATCCAATGTCATTTTCACGGCTCATCCCCGTGTATCAGGCGATTTGGCATCCGAAGCTCGCGGTGTTGCTGATGTTGGGAACACAGCAAGTGCTAAGGTTGAGCGCTAGCTTCCTGATTGGATTCATCAGTAGCCAACTGTGCACTCGACGTCTCGAATGTTCAGTACGAGTTAATAGCTACAGAACGAGGCGTCGGAGTTTATTCGTTCTGTCCCTATATGTACCGACCGATTGAGGTGCGCCTGAAATCAAGGATGAGTTCTACAATGAACTGTCACAACTGCTCCAGAGTGCTAGGTCAACGTGTACATAAAACATTGTGGTGAGATCAAAATGGTGCAGTTACCATCAGATACAGTTATTCTGTACATTACAGCTAATGCAGTTCCCAAAACTACGTTTGTAAAATGCAAAGTGAAAGAATCAAATACTCAGTGAAAAAATGGATACAAGTCACACCAAAGGCACTGTCTTTACTCGACAATCAAGCTGGCATCACGCCCGAGATACTGTTTTCGAAATCCAATATTGCCGTCTACCCTATTGGCATTAGTGTGCCTTCCATTGGAATTAAATTGGCTGCCTACAATTATTTGAGGAACGAGCGTTCAATTTTCTATTCTATCAGTGAAGAAAAATCTGACAACAAAATACTGTAGCATATTTATTCATCAGTAGGGCGGTACTAAGTATGTGGTTTGAGTTGTCATCGCTGGATCGAAACAAACATGGTTGTGTTCAAGTGCTCCAACCACCAGTTCACTTAAAAAGGGGCCAAGGTGTTTTGTTGTTTCATGCTCCTAGTTTCCGGTTCTTTCCAGAACAGAGCTTGTAGAACTTGTGTCGTCTGTGCTGATTGCATCATGGTGTGCAAAATGCACATGAAATCGGGGTGGGCCTAACAAACTTAGCTGGATCAGTTCTTGTCAGGAGAGGCAACCACTTTGATGATTATACAGGCTATATGTTGTACCGCGGAAATGGTGTGCAACTGATTCCTATTGCTTGTGCGATCTTCAGTACGAGATACAGAATCTTGCTTTACACGATAAACCCTGTAGGTCATTCATAATCACTAAATAGGGTTGTCATCAGTAATGAAAACCTTTCGCGGCACGTTAAAAACAACAAGTACTGACTTGCACCGGCATTGGAGAATCTATATCGTCCAAATCGCCCCCTGTCCCATCCTCATCACCATCGTCGTCCACGTGCACGGTAGACTCGTCCATTGCCCCAAACGCCAAACTGGATTGCACGTCCTGGTATTCCGCATCCCCGTCCAACCAACGCATAGACTCTCGAAACTGTCGACTGCCCCGAAAGCGACGGGATGTGTCACACAAGATGTTGCCAGATTTACCGGATGAACGTTCCAAAATTTTGCGAATAAGCACGTGAGATTGGATACGGAAATCGATCATCTGATCAGGAAAGAGAAGATTACACGATTCCCACTATTGTGAACAGACAGAATAATAACATTAAGAACAAACAGTATTAGCCAAGTCAGCAATTCTGGAGGCAACCGACGAGAACAGGATCAGTGAACTGTTATGGTAACCAATCGCACAGAGAGAAACTATTCACAAGAAAAACTGTACAATAGGTTAGAGAAAACAGTTACTTTTTGTGCTAAAATTGGTGCTAGTGGTGTATTTGCATCTGAAGAGGAGGCAAGAAGTTAAAAACTAACTTGCCTGATAAAAACGTGCTTCTTTCATCAAACGTGGATCGTAGCCAAACCGAATCCAACTACGTCCCCAGGGTCCGGCTACCATGTAGTAAGCACAAGCCAGCAGAGCATATTTGAAGGGATTGGATCGGTACCTGTAGTCCAATCGAGACATTAGAGCTCCCCGAATCCAGATAGGACGCTGGTTGAACAGCTTTAATGAGAACACAAATTGGCAAATAAGCTCGCTATCAGTGTGTTCCAATCACTTGAACAGCTACAGGCAGCGAATAAAACAGAATGGAGGTTATCAAAAATTATACTCGGGGGAGGGGGAAGCAACAACTACGACTTCAAGTGCTTCAGACAAATTTGATGACATCAGGCGTGCATAAAAATGTTGACTAGAGTAACAGTTTGCGAACAGTTAACTGTGTCCAAAGCTTTATGATCAAGTGGCACAATGTTTAGCAACATTTCATGGTGAATGCGCATCAGTATCATCGCACACAGAAATTTAGTGAAACTTTCCCCGGAAACTGGTACAGTTCACTTCACTTTTGACAACCATCAATCATGCACCTTCATGCGCCGGTTTTGTCTCCCAATTTGGTTAAAACAGAGCACAATCAAAGAAGATAAGAAATTAACATGGACTATTGTTGCAAATATAACGACTAGACGTACGAGCGTCACTGTTTAAGACAAAGCCATATAACTCAGTATCCCTAACCAACGGTTTCCATGATCTCGGGGTCCCCATTCAGGGAGCTCAGCGGGATCAATGTGACCCAGTCCTCTGGTTAGGGTTTTTAAATCCTCATACCAGATCTTAATTTCATTACCTTCACTTTGTTCCATCTATCGCCCGCCTCGGCAAACATCGCTAACCGTGGTAACCTATTTGGTGACATGT